GATAGGTGCATAAAGCATAACGCCTGATCATAACTGTGTGTTTTGCACCGATGCATAGTTCTTTTTTAACAAGCCAACGGTACAGTTGCAGTTATATACACGTCACCTAGTACAGGTTATTGTATTTCATCAATGAAAGTGGCTAATATTTGTTGCTATGTACGGAACACCCTGGCAAGCTGTTGGTTCGTTATCAGCGTCTATCGTTGGAGAGGTATGTATTAACAAATTAATTAAAATGATGATAAAAGTTCCGAGTATGACTATATTACGTCGTCTGTTCGTTATCAGCGTCTATCGTTGGAGAGGTATGTATTAACAAATTCATTAAAATGATGATAAAAGCTCCGAGTATGACTATATTACGTCGTCTGTAAACAATTGATGATATTACATGCAACTAATGATTTTGCTTTCCTATTTTTAAATCATAAAAATAAAAAATATATATCAATCAGACAAAGTAGATAAACGGAAGTAAAATGCCTAAATCTATTGATTTAGTTAGTTAGTAAAGTATTAATGACTGCTTTGAGAAACATAGTTGTTTTTATACGCTCAAGGGAAGGTCACAATCGAGCTATTGCCCGAGGCTTGCCGAGGGCAATAGCTCGATTGTAACCTTCCCTTGAGCGTAAAAAAACAACTATGTTTCAAAAATTAAAGCAGTCATTAATACTTTTATATACCGAAAAGGGTCATAGAATACATGTGCGACTTACCAATCATGGTAATCAAGTTTGTTTACGTTATAAGGGCACAAGGTACATACAAATACGTGTGTGGGACTGTGAACGGGCTGGACTTTTTGTGTTGTGCTCAGAATTCAAGTAATTCATCTATTAAATGACTATAGCAGACAAGAAACAGGTCAAAGGTAAGGACAAGAATGCTTATCAATATAACAGAAATTTTGCATGAAAAACCATCAGGAAAGCTATCTAAATTTTGTCAGAAATTAGCGACAAACACACCAAATTCAGCGCTGCAATGACACACAAAACGGCGTAGAATTTAACTTTTCATCCACCAAATGAATTTAAACACTTGCATTATACAATCTTCAATACCTGAATCACCGTTATCGGAAGCAATAAATTCACAATTTATATCTAGACATAGATCTACGGCTAATAATAAAACGTAGGGTTTACCCTTTTGGTGTTCTTGCTGTCTAGCGACCAATTCTTCGCACACACACAATGTATGGTATCCACGATCGCTCAAACCAGTTTTTAAGCAAGACTGAACTATTCCCGGTAACCTGAATTTTACCCTCGAACTATTACATGGGCGTGGCATTTTTCGTTTATTTACGGGAATGGCCAAAACCATGACTGCAATTTCGACCAATCAGATGGCTGGATTTCTTAAGTGAGGTATATAATTTAGTTTAGTTTTTCATTTGCCATTATTATTAGTACTATTTTGATTCAGCAGTGTTGACTCACTCGACCAATACTTAGCCAAAGGTGTTTCGTCCGAGGCCAAGTTCCAAGAACATTCTCAACATTCTCAAACAGAGACCAATCTATTTAAAAATCTTCCTCATTGTTACACCCAGGAAATAAGTGCTACCATGAACTTACACACAGGTTAAATTCGAATGAAAATAATGGACACGCAGAGCAAACCACGACCAACGAAACGATGGCTGATTCTTGTGGGACTCTTTACCGTCGGATATTTTGACATCGGAACGTTAAAATCGTTGGGCGAGTTCCTTGAGAAAATGACGGAAGACTTGCAAACGTCTCTGGCTGTCGTCGGACTAGCTATTGGACTAAGTCACGGTGTAGCACAATGCTTTGGTGAGATGCTTCTTGTTACGATGGCCATTCAATTATAACCAGTATTACTGTTTCACTATCTCCTAAAGTAATGGTTTCTAAGTACAATGAGGGCGCGTGGTGCTCTATATGCTATAGCATTTGATTAGGATTTTCACTGTAAAAGCATTCCAATTAATAAATCTTGCATCGATGAATCAGTCACTCTATTTATATTCTAATCCCTAAAAAGGATAAAGCAATAACATTTAAGACTATCTTCTTTTTTGGAATATTTTTACTATGATTGAAAAAAATAAATTCTAATTGACATTTGCCTCTACATTTTTGATGGTGATGATGATGATAATTAAGATTAAGATGACGACATTGATGATGATATGATGGGGGTAGTGAATGTGTACTAAAGGGAAAGATTGTCAGGGAAATACCACTTAAACATTCAGGGATCTTGATAAAAATCAATGCTTAATCAGAAAAGGGAAAATTATCAGACAATTGTAACCGTGTGTGTTGTCTGGGCGTGTATGTGGTGTGTGTGCCTGTGTCTGTGTCTGTCTGTCTGTCTGACTGTCTTTGTTCGATGCACTGTTTTATTCCTCACCCAGTAAGTTGGCGCAAGTGAAATATGGCAGTCTTGTAATGATTGTCTGATGTCCAGTCATGCGTGAAAGGATTCAAATGAAAATGGTACCTAAATGTACTGGGAGGATAACTCTATCAAGACATATCATGAAACCCCTGATTAAATAGACAAACTCCAAACAATACAACTTTTAAAAAGTGGGACATTTTTTCTGACTCACCCTGTATATGATCTTAGCAACATACTGGGTTGTTTGATGTATGCTTCTGCAACAATTGCTCTGCGATTTGTATCCTCCACTCTCTGAATTTCTACAATAACCCTGGACCAAATTCTATACCTACCCCTAATCCGTACCCTAAATTTTACCTAAAATCTGATTGCAATCCTAACCCTTATCCTATTCCTAAAGCTTTTCTTGTTGTTTAAGGAAGATAGCCCAGAGCGACAGAGCAACAAATTTCTGAGCACAATAATCCTCTGATACATTTAAAGTGTGTGTGTGTGTGTATGTGTGTTTTTACAGATGTGTTTCAATCAGATATGATTATGTACGTCTGGGGACCGACCTTTACGTAAATAATCATATCTGATTTATAAACCTCTTTAAACACACAATTACTGTAAAATCCGCATACAAATTAAGTAATCAAAAGTGGAATCGTTTATAGTTGAAGAAAATGCATATTTATGTTTCCGGTACTGTAATACACGCACATGTATTTTGCCAGTAACGTAATATACAACTCAATTGTTTCCCTGAACTCTGGCTTTGCTCATTTGTAGCAATATTGACATTTTCATTATCCTTTCAGAAATGTATTCATTATGCAACTCTGACCAAATCGGTGATATAACTTCCAAGTCCAAATCTATCGATTTACAAGCTCCTTCCAGTATAATAATTCATGATTAAAAAATTAAAATTAAATACTATGGTGAATGGATAATGTACCTCTGCTGGTATCATATTGGTAGTACAGTCAAACCTGCTTTAGCGACCATCTGTATAGAAAGACCACCTGTCTATAGAGACATTATTTTTTGTTTCCCTTGAAAATGTTTCTCATTGAAACATGTACGCTCCTGGGCCCGTACGGCGAGTAAAAACAGAAATTTGGGGAATTTTCGGCCGGTGTCCGGCCGGCTCCCGTACAGTATCTACGGGTGCCGGGACATTTTGTTAAAGAATAACGGCTGCTCCCAAAGTACGGCTTCCTCGCGGGCCCCTCAAGAGCTCCGGTGATATGCACAACACCGGGCATCTGCCGTCCGGTGGCCACTTGAAATGAATATTGCCCGTGTGGGCCCCTCACGGCGGCATCTCAAAATGTACAACGCACCTAACACAGGAGGTGCGGATGTCAGAGTGCACCGTACAGCACCCGCCCGGGCCCCGGCAGGTCACCTTCTGGGAGCCATAGGTACACCTACTCATCGGACGGAGCAGGTAAGCTTACCAATCGCAACCCTACCGGCACCCTTACGGGCGCCTTGCATTTCCACTCGATCAATTTTCACCGGGCACCTCCCGGGCACCGCAGAATATGTGACCACACATGCCGTAGAAATGAAAATCTGAAGGATCCCGTACAGTCTCTAAATCCACGGCAAGCCCCCGGGTAGGGAAAAATCGTACGGGGCCCGGTTTATATGTGACCTAGTCATTACGGGCGCTTTGCATTTCCACTCGACCAATTTTTTACCGGGCACCTTCCGGGCGCCGCAGAATATGTGACTACACACATGCCGTAAAAATTAAAATCTGAAGCTTAGATCCTCCTATATCGGAGCAACTCATGATGCATATTTCACGCATGAGTGATTAAAATCAGCTTGAAGAGAGGGAACCAAAAAGCCATTTGGCGGACGGTATCTGAATTTCAAAGAGAAAATCAAATTTCTAGAAAGTTCAGTTTCTGCCCTTTCATACATGTATGACACCTAGTCATTCAGGAAAAATGATCAAGGAATAACAAAGATCTGTTTGTTTAAAATGATTCTTGCATTTCCATAATTTGATTTAAAAACTTCGTTTTCACTGGCGTGAAATATGCATCATATGAGTTGCATCAAATGAAAGAGGATCTAAGCTTTATAAATATGTGTTATTTATTAATTATAATTGTGATTAAGTTATGATAAAACATCGATAATTCTCGGTTTCGTTTTTTCTGGGACGCACTGTATATATATATCTGAACTTGAAAGGGAAAATAACATTTCTAGAAATTTCATTCCTGCCCTTTCATATGACACCACAATCAGGACAAATGAGCCATATTTTCAAAATGTTTAAGATCTCGTAGAAAATAACGAAATAATAGAATAATGTCTTGCATTTTACGAGTACATATCAAATATTTTGCAAAAATAATAACTGCATTGACAGAATAGAAATGATTTGCAACGAGAGTGCCTAAACAAATTTTTTCATCTGTGAAGAAATATTACGCATATTTGTTTCCCATTAATCGTAAAAATAAATCATTCCATGAAAAACATTGTTATCTCTTTTTGCTATTTTTGTCCCTCCGTTTTCCTCCATTCGGTGAGGGTGAACAGGACCCGTAACTGTGCCAATGATGATAACTGGCCAAAGAAATTGTACCTTCTGCCCTTCATTAACGGGTGGTAACCTTGGCGACAATCCAGTCCATGATGATGGGGAAAATGATGATACAGGACTCCAATATATTAGCTGCTCCAAGAACACAGAACATGATATCAAAAGACTCGGTGTTATCGTACAGAAGACCTGTTTAGAGAAAAGATTTAAATATTAAAAAAAAAAAATCTCGTGATATTAGCCTCTTAATTTTGTATAATGACGTGCTTGTTAGATCAACGATAAATAACAATTGATATCTTTACTGTGTTTTAGATATTGAAAGAAAATTTGTCTCACGTTTGGATAATTTGGTACATTCCAAAATTCAAAATGTATAAAGGGGAAAACCGATTGCATCACCTGTCAGCAAAAGGGAAAAAGGGCGTCCTTATACTCTATTATTCAGTACTCTGTTAGTTACTGGACCCCATGACGAATTTATTCCCCAAAATAGACAACAAAAAAATACAAAGAAACAAACAAATCAACACGAAAAGGTATAAAACAGACACTTTGCATCCGTTTATAATTATGTACATACCAATGAAGAATGCCCCAAGTACCTCCCCTATACCAAAGGCGAGTGATATGAAAGACAGCGCAGCTGGGTACCTTTCGTCCGAGACACTGTCCTTACACAGAAGGTTGCTACTCATGGCCTTTCCACCCATTACGAAGCCATTCATGGCTGCTAAACAGCTAAGAATCGAATATCTCTTGGTGAAGAAATTACAGAAGAATGCCCCTGCTGTTGCGATGCAGATGAAACAGTAGGTGACCTGAGGTTTCAGATTGAGCCTTGCAGCCAGGAAACCTACTGTGAGCCTTCCAAAGATGTTCGCAGCACCGCCAATGGTTGCAAATAGGACGGCTTTGTCGGGACTGATACCCTTGGCTTCGGCATTGGGAATCAAGAAGACGATCCATCCGTAGTAGGAGACGGCGGAAGTAAAGAAAGTCATGCAGATTGTGATAAAGCGGGGGCACTCACGGACTACTTTGACATCGAAAATATCCAGGAATATCTTTTTGGAAGCTCTGACGATTTTGGCGCTGGAGCGAAAGACTCCATCGTCATTGCGATCATCATCTATGTTATGTAGGTCGACAGTCGTCTGCTCGTTTATCAGGGACACAGTTTCTTCATGGTCTTCCCCGATCTGAGCTCTGCCAGCTAAAAATGTAGGTTCTCCTAATATACGCCTTTGTTGACTACTTGACGTCATTAGTAACCCCGTCGCACACGAATGAAAGTTCAAGGCCCCTAGAATAAGGATCGCCCCTCTCCAGGAGTAAGCCATGACGAGCTGTTCTGTAAGCAATGGGAGCGTCATCATACCTACACCGCTGCCCAGGAGGACAATGGTTGTAGCGATCTCGAAGTGATCTGGAAAGTAGTCAACGACGCTGGCTTCAGAAGGCAAAATGACTAAGCTATAACCAAACCCTGGTGAAAAAGGGAAAGTAACATTTAAAAACATGAATTTTGATAACGTTAGAAACGTTTTTTTTTTCCCGCACCCACTCAACGCAATTTACTTTAGACACCCGGATCGTTTTAATCAGTTTGATATGATTAATACCATATCGATAACCACATGAGCCTCAGAAAAAAGTGAACTTCAACAGGCACTGTGGATAATTTTGTACAAAACTCCTTCATTATCATGTTTAAAGCATCTGATACTCAAATAAAACAGCCCGCTTAGAGTGTAGAGTACGCTTGGCAAATTGTCTAATTCCACAGAGGCATGAAAGATGGTGATTGTAAAATATCGATGGTCTAAATCTGAATGGCCTCCAAGCACATTACGCGGTGGAACAATGGCAAGTATATATTCCGTTGACTCTCGTTTAATCACTTTGTTCTAATTTCAAAGACATCAATAATAATAAATTACATCAAATTTGTTAACGAGATTATGTAACCAAGAACTCCGTGATTAATTAATTTGCTCTGATGGTAGCACCTCAGGGGTATACTTTGGGTCTATTATTGTTTTGTATCTATGCAATAAGAGATTCGTAGAAACCCTACCTGTTACAAGCATTAGTAGTAGAAAGTGCATTCCAGATGTTGCAAAATATATGAGGCTGAGTCCTGTAGCGGCAATGCTACTGCCTGCAAGGACGAGTTTTCCTGCTGAAAACCGCTTTAATAGAGGTACATTTATAACCGCTGTGAAATTAAAAAATTAGAGGTAAATGTCAATTAGAATATTGTTTTTCAATCATAGTAAATATATTATTTAAAAAAAAAGATAATCTCAAATTTTGTTACTTTATCCTTTTTAGGGTTTAGAATATAAATAGCGTGCACGTGACTGATTCATTGATGCAAGATTTATTAATTGGAATGCTTTACAGTGACAAATTACTAATACATGATATGATTTAATCCAATGCTATAGCACATAGAGCGTCACGCGCCCTCATTTTCTTTAAATACATGTACTTAGAAACCACTACTTTAGGGGATAGTGAAACATTAACACTGGTAATGATTGAATGGTTATCGTAACAAGAAGCATCTCACCAAAGCATTGTGCTACACCGTGACATAGTCCAATGGCTACTCCTATCACAGCGAGAGACGTTTGCAAGTCTTCTGTCATTTCCTCAAGGAACACGCCCATCGATTTTAACGTTCCTATGTCAAAATATCCGACGGCAAAGAGTCCCACTAGAATCAGCCATCGTTTTGTTGGTCGTGGTCTGCTCTGCGTGTCCATTATTTTCATTCGAATTTAACCTGTGTTTAAGGTCATGGAAGCACTTATTACCTTGGTGTAACAATGAGGTAGATTTTTTAATAGATTGGTCTCTGTTTGAGAATGTTGAGAATGTTCTTGGAACTTGGCCTCGAACAAAACACCTTTGGCTAAGTATTGGTCGAATGAGTCAACACTGCTGAATAAAAATAGTACTAATAGTAATGGCAAATTTTTTTTTTTGGAGTACAAAAAAAAATCGCTACGACTCAGCCAGCCGTGGGCATTTTTTTTTTTTTTTAATAAAAAAAAAAAAAAAAAAAAAAAAATCCAAAAGGGGGGGGGGGGGGGGAGGGGGGTTTAGTTTTTTTTAGGAGGGTTTACACACACAAAAATACCAAAGGGGGGGGGGTTGAACCCCCGACCCCCCCCCCCCCTGCGTACGCCCCTGGTTTGAATTCATTTGATGGATGAAAAATTGAATTCTACGCCGTTTTGTGCGTCATTGCAGCGCTGAATTTCGTGTGTTTGTCGCTAATTTCTGACAAATTTAGATAGCTTTCCTGATAGTATTTCATGCAAAACTTCTGTTATATTGATAAGCACCGATTCTTGTCCTTACCTTTGACCTGTTTCTTGTCTGTTTTAGTCATTAAATAGATGAATTACTTGAATTCTGAGCACATTTCAGTAACACAAAAAATCCAACCCGTTCATAGTCCAACACACGAATTTGTATGTACCTTGTGCCTTACACTACTTAGTCAGTTAGTCTGCTGTCTCGATAGCGTAAACAAACTTGATTATCATGATTGGTAAGTCGCACATGTATTCTATTACCCTTTTCAGTATATAAAAGTATTAATGACTGCTTTAATTTTCGAGACATAGTTGTTTTTATATACGCTCTCGGGAAGGTTACAATCGAGCTATTTCCCTCGGAAAGCCTCGGGCAATAGCTCGATTTTAACCTTCCCTCGAGCGTATAAAAACAACTTTATGTCTCTCAAAGCAGTCATTAATACTTTACTAACTAACTAAATCAATAGACCTAGGCATTTTACATCCATTTATCTACTTTGTCTGTTTGATATATTATTTTTGTTTCATGATTTAATAATAGGAAAGCAAAATCATTAGTTGCATGAAATATCATCTGTTTTTTACAGATGACGTAATATAGTCATACTCGGAACTTTTATCAACATTTTAATGATTTTTTAATACATACCTTTCCAACGATAGACGCTGATAACGAACCAATAGCTTGCCAGGGTTTGTCCTATATAGCAACAAATATTAGCCACTTTCATTGATGACCTACAGTAACCTGCACTAGGAAACGTGTTTATAACTGCAACTGTACCGTTGGCTTGTTAAAAAAGAACTATGCATCGGTGCAAAACACACAGTTATGATCAGGCGTTATGCTTTATGCACCTATCAAAAGGCATATTTCAAAATAGAGGTCATTATTATCAACGGTATACGTGGTCTATTCAGACACTAACGATATGGCTGTTTATGGAAATGGCACTTTTGTGTTCAGTGTGCGTGAATCATCAAGCGATTGTGGTGCTTTTATATCAAAACCTGACCGTTGTATTGTCATCAGGGTCCAGTGCAGTTCTATGTTGATTTGTTGTTATTAATATGTTTGGTCCCTTTTCTCTATTTCTGTCCTTTGAAACAAGTTTTATTATAATTGCGGGAATGCAATAACTAGGTCCATGGACTTTAAATCTGAATACATAATTTATTTTGTTTACATCACAATCACACATGTACATGTATGTGATATATATTATATGTAGAAAAGGGGTATAAGTAAAAGAACAAGAAGACACATAGGAGAAACGATGGCTCAGTGGTAGAGCATAGGATTCGTACCCGTAAGGTCCCAGGTTCAAAACCATGTCAATACGCTAGTGGCATTAATTCACATGTATGAAGTCTCTCGAAAAGTGCTTTTAATCGTAGGTCAAACGGTTGCTTATTGTTCCTACGAATGCCGGGACATTTTTTTTAAGCATTACGGGCGCCGTGGTGCAGATTTGGCTGCTCCCAATTTTTCCGACGTTTTAATCTGACCGTTAGGCCGTAGAGAGCCCGGAAAGGGCGCGTGGGGCACCTTACAAGTCCCGTGCGGGTTCCGGACGGTGCCCGGACGATTTTTTTCTGTAAGTTCTCAATGTACAACGCAGCTTTGAATACAGAGGCGCGGATGTCAGAGGACACAAAGTTCAGTACACCGCACGGCGGCCCGTGGATTGGTTCTAATATTCCATGATATAGTATTGTAAAACACGAAGTTGTATTCTATTACCCTTTTCAGTATATAAAAGTATTAATGACTGCTTTAATTTTCGAGACATAGTTGTTTTTATATACGCTCTCGGGAAGGTTACAATCGAGCTATTGCCGTCGGAAAGCCTCGGGCAATAGCTCGATTTTAACCTTCCCTCGAGCGTATAAAAACAACTTTATGCCTCTCAAAGCAGTCATTAATACTTTACTAACTAACTAACTAAATCAATAGACCTAGGCATTCTACATCCATTTATCTACTTTGTCTGTTTGATATATTATTTTCGTTTCATGATTTAATAATAGGAAAGCAAAATCATTAGTTGCATGAAATATCATCTGTTTTTTATAGATGACGTAATATAGTCAAAGTCGGAACTTTTATCAACATTTTAATGAATTTTTTAATACAAACCTCTCCAACGATAGACGCTGATAACGAACCGACAGCTTGCCAGGGTTTGTCCTATATAGCAACAAATATTAGCCACTTTCATTGGTGACATACAGTAACCTGCACTAGGTAACGTGTATTTAACTGCAACTGTGCCGTTGGCTTTCATGAAAGAACCATGCATCGGTGCAAAACACGCATTAATGATCAGGCGTTATACCTCATGCACCTATCAAAGGCATATTCCACAGTATACAGTGTGAGTCAAAAAAAACTTTACACCTAGGAAATTACTAATAATTTAAAAAATAATTTATGAACAGTGAAGTATTATACATCATATGAAAGAGTGTTTTATCCTGAATCATTTGGTACCATTTTTGGGTGGTATGTGTTCACGCTTGGATGAACAGGAGGTATTGTTTGCGAGAGTGCAAAAATCGAATTGCGCCAAAGTATTAAAGTGAGAGAATGAATTGAATGTATGAAATGAGATGCATTGCAGATGCTTTTTTCAGTAGCAAAGTCACACACACACACACACACGCACACGCACATATGAAACACACACACTAGAACACACCCACCAACACACACGCGCACACACACAAACATATGATAGGTGTTCATTTGGAGTAAAATACTTTATTTTTTACTTGATCTTCAAATTGTTAACGATCATCATAATTATGATGATAATGTTAATTCAAATGCTTATCATCATGGATCCTTTGAAGCTTCATTTGTGACCAGCAAGTAACTGTCCGTTCATCTACTCCTCGACATGACCTCCGTCCCTTTCGATGCACTTTCTAGCGCGATGGAGCATCTCCTGAAACACTCGACGAAGCATGCGCCTGTCTCTCCCAAGTGCTTCGCTCTCAATCCTGATCCTCTCTCGTAGGTCGTTGAGGTTCGCAGGTGGGCTCTGGTACACCCGAGACTTGAGGTAACCCCAGACGAAAAAATCAAGCGGTGTTAGGTCCGGGGATCGACGTGGCCACTCCACAGGTTCGTTCAGAGCGATGATCCTGTTCCGGAAGAGTTCTCTCAACCTGGTCATCACAATCCTTGTCCTGTGAGCAGGGGCACCATCTTGTGCCCACCAAAGGTGCCTGAAAGGACCGTTTCTCTGACGCCTAAATCGTGCCATCTGATCCAGAGCCGGGACAACCTGATCATCTATCATTCTTAGATAGCGCTCCCCATTCACTGTCTGTTCAAAGAAGAAGGGTCCAAGAAGACTTCCAAGAAGATTTCCAAGAAGGCCGATCCAAACTGTCACATCTAAATTTGCTATGCGAGTGTGTGTGTGTGTGTGTGTATGTACGAGTGTGTGCGTGTGTTTGTGTGACTTATTGAGTGTGACTCTGTGTGTGTTTTGATATGTGTGACATGATTAATTTTGGTAGGGATGTTATTTGGATCTGCAAAGACCGAATTAATACCGAAATCCCAATTGTTTTATTCAAACATCACATAAGCATTATTTGGCGCAAGTCGATTTTTGCACTCTCGCAAACAATGCCTCCTATTTATCCAAGCGTGAACACATACCACCCAAAATGGTACCAAACGATTTGGGATGAAACACTCTTTCATATGGTGTATAATAATTTACTTTTCATAAATTATTCTTAAAATTATTAGCATTTTTCTAGGTGTAAAGTTTTTTTTGACTCACACTGTAGTGTATTATTATAAATTGTATAGGCTATCTATTTGGTTAATGACAATATGGCTCTTTATGGAATTTGCACTTTTGTGTTCAGTGTGTTTGAAGCATCAAGCGATCGCAGTCCTTCCATGTCAAAAGCTGAATGTTGTTTCAAGGTCCAGTGCATTTCTCTGTTGACTTGTTGTAGAATAGCTTGTAGCTAAAGCAGGGGCGGCCCTCGGGGGGGGGGGGGGCAGGGGAAGGGGCACAGTGCCCCCACTTTTTCAAGCACCCGAAAGTGCCCCTTTTAGCATAGGAAAAGTGCCCCTTTAAGTTTGTAAGAAGTGCCCCTTTTTACATAGGAATAGTGCCCCTTTTACATTGACAAATGCCCCTATTAATTTGTAAAAGTGCCTCTTCCCCTTTTCAACGCTAATAAATGCCCCTTTTATTCGGACACCTGCCCCTTTTCCTTCGACAAGTTCCTTTTTCCTTTGCAATAAGTGTCCATTTTCCATTCTCATAAATGCCCTTTTAATCTCTAGTAAGTGCCCCTTTTCAGGTACGAGAAGCGCTCTTTTCACTTTTGATTAGTGCCCCCTTCACCTCTGATAATTGCCCTATTCAAATCTGAAAGGTGTCTCTTTTAATTTGACAAGAGCCCTTTTCCTTTGTTATAAGTGCCCCTCCCCTTTTGATAACTACCCCCATTTTAACTCAGATAAGTGCCCCTTTAACCTCCGATAAATGCAGCTTTAAAATCTGATCGGTGCCCATTTTCTGTCAACTAATGCTTTTTTCCCTTTCAAATAAGTGCCCCTTCTCTGGTAAATGACCCGTTTTAGGTACGAGAAGTAACTCATTGTCACTTCAGATAAGTGCCCCTTTAACCTCTGATAAATGCAGCTTTAATATCTGATCGGTGCCCATTTTCATACAACTAATGCACATTAGACATTGGAAAAGATTGACAAAAAACGACTGCGATTCTTTGGCCACATTAACAGGATGAGACCATCACGATACCCAAAGATACTCCTAACTTCTAATATCCATGGTGATAGACTCCGGGGCAGACCAGCCAAGAAATGGTTAGATTGTGTAAAGGTCGATTGTGTTAGTAGATGTCCGGGATCCCTCACAGAAGCAACCAGAACGTCACAAGATAGAAAGGTCTGGCTTGAGACCATGAAGCAGAAGCCATCACACATCCCCCAGATGGTATGGAAGGCTTAGGTCAAGGTAGGACAAGGTCAATGCACATTTTCCTTTATTATGAATGCCCTTTTTTCATTCACATACATTGTAAGTGCCTCTTTTCACGTCTGATAATTTCCCTTTTAACAATGATACGTGCCCCTTTTCCTCTCTAATAAGGGAACTATCCCCTTTTCTCAAATGCCCCTTTTCACCTCCTATAAATGCCCCTATCAAAATCTGATGGGGCCCCTTTTCCGTCGACAAATGCCCATTTACTATTTTCATGACTGACTTGTTTTCATACCTGGTGAGTGCCTCTTTTTGAGGGTGTAAGAAGCTACGCTCACATGCATCTATAGATGATATACTTATGTTACCTATCAAAGGTCTTTTCAGTCTTCCGTTATGAAAATGTGCTTATAACCAAATCAATTTTTTTTCCCTCTTTATAAGATGCAATTTTTCGCACTGCGATCTCACAAATATATATTTTTTCTTTGCTCGCTTCGCTCGCTCGCAAATAATTTGTTTAGACCATCACACCCAACTGCAAAGCATGATGCTTAAGCAATATCTTGTATGGTGTATAAAGTGAAACAAATATTGAAATCATCCCTGATAATGTAATCACAATGTAGGGGTATATACCAATGTCTAAAAGATTGTATATTTTCGCTAAGTTGAGATTTCACTTTGTTGGTGCCCTTTTTTTCTCCAGAAAGTGCCCCTTTTCTTGGTGCCCCCCACTTTGCAAGTCGCTTAGCCGCCCCTGAGCTTAAGTATGCATTCAATAGTTATTCATATTTATTCATTACATTCTCATTCATTGCTGTAATACTATGGTATGTTAGTGGTACCAGACACGATTGACATTAAATGCTATTTTCTGGTCCCATTTATCCTTTCAAGGTTAACCATTTACATTTTATTGTTATATTGATGTACTTTTGTTTAGATAATAAACTTCAAACTCAAACTCAAACTCAACACATTAATTTGTTTTATTCTCTTTTATCTATGTCTGTCCTTTGAACCAAGTTTTATTATAATTGCGGGAATGCAATAACTAGGTTCATGGACTATAAATCCGAATACAAAATTTATTTTGATTACATCACAAACACGTATGTACACGTGTATGAAATATATTACATGTAGAAAAAGGGTAGGGAAAATAACAAAAAGACACATAGGAGAAACGGTGGTAGAGCATAGGACTTGCACCGGAAAGTTCCAGGTTCGAAACCATGTCAATGCGCAAGTGACATTAATTATTAAAGCGACTTGCAAGTTGCAACATGTAAATTCGATGAAATCAGCGATACTGATGATTCGGATTAGTAGAACATTATTATTCCGTGTCACTATACATCAATTTTTGTACATTTTTAGATCATTTGATGTGGCCGTGATGACTTTCGATATATTTATTTTCTTTCTGTAGAGATTTCATTTTTATAAATTTTAATTTATCGGATTTGCACTCATTGTTGAAATTCTTAGACGTTCTTCAATTGAAGTTCGGGGCTATAAACCCTACAATTTTTATGGAAACTCAAAAAATTCGATTGATGAAACATGTCCATGTATCTCTCTTGGTATGACATAATTATCAATATACACGTAGTACATGTATCATCAGAAAGTGTGGTTATTTATCTTTAAAATGATACACCATTTGTGCATTCATCACAATTAAAGATAAACTTGAGTTCTGGTAATGCGATTGCATTGTGAAAGAAAAGGTGTGAAATGGATCAGATGCAAGGTTCTGGAGTCATCAAAATCATCATAAATTTGGCAGAGTCTTGGTAAAGTAACAATCACTTACACAGAAAGATGTATATGGGACAACACACATGGTGTCGGGGCTAGTACTACCCTGATTTCCTTATCTGTCTATGCTCATTAATCAGCCAGTATACATTTTCTTCCAAAATTGTTTGGCACATGACATTTATTTGTAATCTTGAACATTCAGTGTAAGTTAATAGATTCTGTGAGAATTCATTTTCTTTTTTTTTTACCAGAACTCAAGTTTATCTTTAAGGGGCAAGGTAAAAAGTAAAAAGTTACAAACTACACTGCTCTTGTTTGGCTGTGCATTCTTGTTTCTTTTAATAGTTAAAGACTATAGGGCTGCTTTTTGTACTACACTGCATAACAATACGAGTGCTTACCAGTGCAATTTCACTTTTGACTACGCCCCTTTTTTTGACGTAGTGCTCATTTCATTGCTAGAAAATTAGAAGAAAACAAAATGTTTTCAAATTTGAAGAGGAATAAACATGTACTTTGTAATGATACTAAAAAAGGCGATAGTTATCCTAATGGAACTTAACCGTTTCATTATTATGTTACATGCGTATCTATCATACTTAAGAGAGTCTTGCAGCGATTGATGGAAATGTTCAGCAGGAAAGCAACAATTAATGAAATCAGCTGTGAGAAAGAGATGATAAGCGAATTTCGGCTTCAAGTCTGTGCCAAGTAAAGACAAATGAAATAACGAAAATAAAACAAGCCCCACGAATAACTGAGTAAAAGATATATATTACGTACATATATATATCGGCACATATATCTGCACATATATATCACATTATTGTGAGAGATATTTTGAGCGAAATGAGACACCCCCCCCCATAATATTACTGGATACGCCACTGTAATCTCTCCTAAATTGCCTTTGTTCGCAATATATCCATCAGACCTCATACGATCGTGACACGCTCAATAACTGACTAAATTAATTGTATCTCGTCTGTTTTTGGTTTGTTCAGCAAAGGTCAAAAACTGATTCCATCTCTCTTTTCTCCCGCTCTCTCTCTCTCTCTTTCTCCCTCTCTCTCTCTCTCTCTCTCTCTCTCTATATATATATCTCTTTCTCTTTAAAACTGTCTTTCTCACTGATTCTTTCACTCGTTCTGTCTCTCTCTCTCTCTCTATCACTGTCTCTTTCTTCCTCTCTCTCTCCCCCCCCCTCTCTCTCTCTCTCTCTCTCTCTCTAACATTGTCTTTTCATTGTCTCTTTTACTGGCTCTTGTTCTCTCTTTGTTATCACCATCATCGATCAAATATCAAGTATCAAAAACTGCCACCAATTCTGAATCAAAATTTATATTTCAGAAATATGAAAGAGACTGGCCCATTTGCAGCCAACAGCAAATGTTGAAGAAGTTTGCAGGAATCATGAATATGTCACGTACGTCCTATCTGTGGAATTTACACGTTAGCAGCGTCCTATTATTCAAATTATGCAAGGGAACCCGTTTAATACTTTCTAAACTTCACAGTCAGGCACTATTGAGTGAGCGACTGACTCCTTCTTG